TGTTGTCAAATTATTTTTAAAAAATATTAGAGGTTTCAGGGTTTCAAATGAACACTTTTTATTTTGTCCAAACTAATGGTCATGGAAATAAAAATGCTAGAGAGTTAATTTTCGTGTTCGGTTACATGTGTGAGCCACTGTAATAATTGTAATGAACATTTTATATTATAGAATAAATTTTATTATATATTTATTTATCTTTATTTCTATACTTATCCAAGAATTTATCAATTTCTCTATCTCGGCTTGCCCTACTCATAACTTTATCTGAACTTTTATTTTGTTTCTCCGTGTCCTCATCCGTCTCAGACGCTTCTTCCTCTTCTTCCTCCTCTTCCAAATCTTCCTCAAGTGCACTTATCCGGAGCGGAAGTTCATCATTTTCCTCTAATACATATCGCTTGGAAATACGTGGGAGTATAGTGTCGCAGACACGCTCTTCGCGTAACAACTCATCAATAAACTCATCCATACATACTATTTCGAAATCACCACCTAATACCAAGAAATAGGTCTCTAAAATTAAATTTGGTTCAAAATCGATATGCGAGAAACAGAAATTTCATTAGGTACCTGGATTTCTTCTACGCAGTTTACGGTAGTCATTTAAAAGTGGTTCTAGATATTGGTAAATTTCAAGCGAGGTTCCAACGAGACGCAAATAAAATGCTCCTAAAGCCCTTAAATATCTAAAAAAAAAATTAACATTCATCGATTATATAAACAAATTAAATGCGATCAACTTTCTGAACAAACTAACTCACTTGTATTCTTCAGTCCGAATAAACTCTATTATAATATCTTTACCAGGTTGTAACTGTAATAATTTTAGCGTGAGACAGAGGAACTCGGTTGGCTTTTGATTACCATATTGTCCACCGAGGCTTGTCAATTCAATTGCTCTATCAATAAGAGTCTCAGCTAACAAGATGCAAACAAGTCAAACAATGCTTTGAATAGAAAAAAATAAATAAATCTCTATTCTTATTCCAACCTGTTAAACCGAAACAAGATTCTTTCCAATATAATGAGTCATATATCCTAGACCTAATTATCTTTTCTATAAGGTATTGTGGGTTAGTTCCATGAACTGCAATAGCATCAGAAACTGTGCGATTTGCCATGACTAATCAACGACTTTTCAGCATCGATATTTATATTTATGAGTGAAGTTAAAAAATGGCTAAGCTATGCCGACGATTTGCCTTTAATAAAGTTCACCATTATGAATTTATTATACTAAAATTTCTATTTTACAAGGATGAGTTTATAAGTACGCAAGTACCTAAGCTAATTTCTTCACTATATGTTGTATATTATGATTAAATCAAAAGTTTGATGCGTCAATGCCTTTTTCGAAGACATCTTTCACAATGCCAAGCATCCACCACTACTTGCATTTCGTCACCGAATCCCACGCATCCTCCGTGGAACCATGTCGAGCAAGTATCACATGCAATCATGAATTTATTATTGTCAATATTTGGATATTCGCATATACAATTAATTATTTCTTCTTGTGTTGTGGCAGGGGTAACCAGAGGAGGGGGCAATTGGAATTGTACCGGCGGCATAGTTGATGTAGATGCTGATGATATTGATGTAGTAGTGGAAGATGTTGCGGATTTCTTCATAGGTAGACGGATTTTTATCTTGCCGGTGCTTGCAAGCGGAGTAGCTTCCGAGTTTATCGATGAGGCAGCTGCTTTTTCATTTTTAGTTTTGGATGTTTTCTCCTTTTTAGGTTTAGTTGATTTTTTTCGTGATGATTGAGGTTGCGAGTGAATTGGTGGTTGTTGAGGTGTTGACAATGTTTGCGTAGGGAAAATTGATGGTGAATTGGGAAAGTCGGAAGGTTTGAATCGTTTTGATTGTTTATTTGTTGAGGGAAGCAAAGTTGATGTTTGTCTTGATTTTGAACGTGGGGTTGATGCTATATACGAAGTTGATTGAGATGATGTCGATGTCGAAGCTAAATGTAGGTTAGTTAGATTTGTAGTATCATTTGTACTCTTAAGAGATATTGTAAGAGGCTTCGTCGAAGCGTCTTCACTTGAAAATGACTCGCCTTCATTACTATCTCCAACGATATCGATCATCATTTCTTCGGAAACAATTTCGGAAGGACGAGATGTATTTGTTGCTGTCGGAGGTCTAGTTATTCTTATCATGGGAAGCTGAAGCTCTTGAGGCACTAATCCCGGCGGCACCATCACTTCTAAATCTTCAAAAAATCCATTTTGTGAAGAGGAAAATATTGTTTCCCCTGGAGGAACCGACGAAAAAGATAATTCAAATTTTCTCTTTTTCTTTTGTGAATCTGATTCAATTACTGCGCCTGTTGACATTGAAGGAGATTCATGCGGTGTAAAAGATTTGAATACATTTTCAATGTTTTCTGGTGCGAGCAATTTTAACGGATCAGAAGTAAATCGACTTTGTGATCCGTTGCTTTTCTGATTTACTATCGTTAAATTATCTTCATTAATGTTTTTGGATTTAATTGGCTGCATATTTTCGTCAGCGTCAACTTTTTCTATTTTCTCGGGTGATTTCTTCTCATCATTGTTATTATCATTTATATTGTTCTCATCGGATATTGTTCCTGTTTCCTGTGTTTTAATATTGTTTTCTTTTTCTTTAGTGGTGTGTGATATTGGATAACCTTCTGGAAAAGGTGGTAAATAGTTTGGTATATAAGAAGGTCTATCTTTAAGTAAATTCGCCTCTTTACTTAAATCTGGTTTTTCTCCACTAGGAATAATATCTATATCCATATCTTCCATTCTATCATAAGCTTCTTTTGAAGTTAGCTCTTCCGAGATGTTAGAGGGTAATTTTGAACCCTCGTTATTTGTATTATCGATGTCATTTTCTGGTATTACACCGTTTGGTGGTGTTGCAGGTGCCTCTCCGAATAGATCATCGAAATTTTCAACAGAGTCACCGTCGTCCTCCTCCTCCTTTCCTTGGGCCTCACCACCTTTTAGCGATTCATCAAAAAAATCGCTATTAAAACCTCCCAAATTGAGTTTATCTTTGCTGATTATTTTCTTTTGAAAAATACCGAACTCTTCTTTGTTTGCGTCAAGGCTAGAAAATCTTTCTTTAAATACTAACAGTTGTTCGTCTGCAGGATCCTTTGATGCACCAGTTGCAAGTAAATCTTTAAGAAACAGAATGATGAATACAAGAAAATTAAGCAAATTTTCAATAAACCTTAAATAGTACCTTTTACAACGGGCGTTGGATCAGGTCCGCTCCATTTATTATAATTTTTGGATTCACGCTCCGTTTCCAACCAGTCTTCTAAATCTTCAACTTTTATTCCTAGTGTTTCAAAAGTAGCCTTTACATCAAACGCATTCATTTTGGTTCTGCCCGCATGCATTGCGTGGTTTTTGGCAGTCTTTCCCAACATTTCCAAGTAATTTCCAAACACGTCTGTTAAAACGTCGACACTCAGACCAGAAGTTTTGTCAAAACCTGCCTGTTGGATAAGTTGAAGTGTAGCTAAGCGTAATACTGAAGAGCAAAATCGCTCCATTGTTCATTATTTGTTAGAAATGGCAAAAAACAAATTTACGTAATTACAAAAATGATCTACATGTTCCAGAGTTAATTAAGAAATCTAAATTTATTATACATGTAAATGTTAGCAAAAAAGTTGAACTCCCGAGCAGAATGAACGAAATCCAATTGACCGAAGAATGAAAGTTTACAGGTATGCTAGTAGTTTTCTAATTCGATAATTTTGATAATCAATTTTCTGTTTTTATCTGCAGGTTCCGATATTGCTCCATATGTGCAAGCTTCGCTACATCACATTATATCGATATTGTGTGTATCGGTATCAAGTATGTATGGTGTTTACTACTGAATTCAGGTTTTCGATGCGAATTCAGTATTTCAACGGTCTAGACAAATTTATCAAATGTCTTGGTTAGGAAAGGGGGTTTATCTCTATATGATCAAGTTTAAAAAATTAAATCTGTCACAATGAAAATTTCTATTCCCTATTGCACCATTGCACCCGTAAAGGCAGACTATGAACGCGCACAAAAAAATTCGAAACAATACCATAGCTGTATTATTGCTTGCAGACTTATCGTAAACTCTCCTATCATTATATCCGTTAAACTGAGCAATCCGCAATGAATCAACGCGTCGCGTTCGGCTTTGAAAAATTGTTGCATGGATGATCGACAATATATTAGGGTTATATGACAAAAGAAAATATATATTCCAAAGCAAAAATGAACGATACTCAAGATGTGCTCGAGGGGTCTATAGAATATCAGTATGGTATAGAGTATGCTACAGGAAAATGTAGGATTATAGCATTACCTTGTACCATCTCAAGGTGACCTCTAAAAGACTCTTGGACCAGGTCTGCACAATTTATTCTATCTTGTACCATCTCAAGGTAACCTCTCTTTTTGGACCGGACCGTAAGACGGTCTTATGAACCAATTCTTTCTGAGAAATACCTTTACATCCATATAACAGACCTGTATTACTTTTGCGTTCTGTTAAAAACAATATAAGTATGAAGAGTCTCCTTCTATCTAGTCTTCTCTTCACTCCGTTTTCTTTTTCTATTAGTTCCTGCTTGCATAATGGGCCAATTTTTGACCCCAGAAATTTATACCACGTTGACCCTAAGTCAAGCACAAACTATTGCGACGTTTATCCTAGGCGCTGCTGGTTTTGGATGGTTCTTTTTCTTATCAAATGCTGTAAAACTTAAGGCATCAAGTTACTTTAATAATGATAAGATGATACCGATTTTGGAAACTATAGTGCCAACCAGCATGAAGGTTGCTGTTAAAATACTACATAGAACACCAATAGCATTTATGGTTGCATTAGGTCCAGTACTCACAAGTTTTGAAGGTGTTATTGTTCTACATACTATAGGCTATGTCGAATCATGCGGTACAGCTATTGCAAAAGCACAAGCACAAATAACGAATGAAATTCATAGAGCAGCGTATTGGTTCTCTGCCGAAATAGAGGCAATGATGGATAAATGAAACAAGAGTGATGTACCATCTGGTATACTAGTAGGACGAATTCCGGAAATTCGACGCTCGTCTTGATGTTGATCCTTACTAATGGAAAAGTTCATGTTCACTCTATAAGTCTGGAGTAACTCGAATAAATATGAACACTTCTATACTGTTTGGAGAAGCTGGAATAAGAGATAAATTACCGGAGGTACACGCAGAATACATATTTCGTAATAGTCCTGATGGGTACAATTACACTAGAGGCAAATATGATCCTCATGTGTACTATAACACTACAAATGGTACCTATCATGCGAATGGTGCCTTAATACTATTAATTGAAGAGTTTATGCGAGGGGGCTTTTATACAATCGGAATGCATTTTATGAATAGGCTATGGACAATCCGAGTGCCGGAAACAACCAGTATTCCTTACGACCCTGATAATCCTGAAAGAGTCGAAATTGTATCAGTACCCATTGCTGTTAAGGCATATACATGTGAAATGGAACGCGTTAAAGATGATTACGGGAGTTACAATGTAAGAAACCATGACATTGTACCACTTTTATTAGTGCCGGGTGATCTTATTGCAAGAAATGGAACCTCGCAGTCACTTCAATTTACGAATTAACACCGGAGCATTGGGCATCGTATCTAGCCGTAAAAGATACGCAGACAGCACAAGTTGAAGAAGTCCTCGTACGAATAAACATGCCGTGTATTACGGTACATCCTATATATATTTCATTAGTATGTGCCTGGTAATAATTTGTTTGAGGAAACATAAAATACCAAGCAGTGTCCTCGAATGGGCAAGGTTTACTTGTAAAGAATCCAAAGTCAATAATGATGACACTGTGCATGACTTGTTTGGTTATAAGCTAGGAGTAACTTTGGATAGAATCCCTGAGACTAAATTAGTTAAGAATAGGGTTGGAAGTATAGTTGCTGTCGAAATTCAAAACCCAAAAAATTAAGGTTATGGCAAATTCCTTTTTTCCGCCGTTTTCCCTTTGCCACTATGGTAATATTTATTTATTTTTGATGAGGAATTTTGTACTAGCGCTAGTCAAAAATCTTGAAATTTTATCACATCCAGTAGCTAAATGTAATTTTAATTCATCTAGCCATATCTTGTCTCTCAAGGGATATTTATGCATATGTTTCTCATCACGTATTTTTATATCGATATAGCTTTAAAATATTTATCCGTAAATATACATTATTGGTTATATCATATTGAATATTATAACAATTGTATATTGTAACGGTAATAATTAAAATAATTAATTAATATCCATTTTATTATCAGGACTTATATTATTTGAACTACCCCAGCTCACCCACGATCGATTTTCCCTTCACGTGATTTTTCCGAAAAAACCTAAAATGACTCCTAACCTTTACCGTATGGCGCTGCCTACAGTCCTCTGAGATAGTATCCCTCCATTTTGCTGATAAGCAATTTGCGGCCTAATTTTTATAAGCAGTGTTTGGTTTTTTCTATGGATCTATTGTGTTTA